CAAGTCTCCTTCAATGCAAAATCTAATAGATGTAATGATAATGCTATGTATATGATTGGCAGATGTAAAAAATCTTCATATCAACTGATACAAACCAAGTTGTGAGTTATGGTATAATCCTGACTATTCTTGGTACTGTATTGGTTATGCAAAAAATAAAGGTGAGATAGAAGAACCCAGCCATTTCTTTCAATAGAAAAAAATCTAATACAAGCAAGAGAATTACTTATCTGGATTCAGAAATCAATACTGGATAAATTTCCCTTCTTGTTAAAAAATAAGAATAGGAATACTAATGTTGCACCTCTTAATTAATTCTTAAGTCGCCATAGAATTACCTCATATATGTTAAGAAAAATAGGTGCCGATTATGCTTTCAGAGTATATAGAGGTAGAAATGATTCCCGCCGTCAATATTTACGGCAATTGGCATGTAGATATAAAATAGGTCATGCTTTATCAGTTGAACATTATGGTGTAATGAATGACAAACCAAATACCCCAGCACCTAAACAAGAAAATAGGGAGATCGAGGATATCATTGACCTATATAATTACTAATTGCTTTTATCCCATTCAGAGTTGGACCCAGACTCAGATGGGGATGAAGATTCAGATGAGGACTCAGATGTGGTATTGTTAAAAATTGTTTTTTTTCTTTTAGCCTCAGATAGTGTACGATTTCTCCGAGAAATATCTGGGTTTGCTATCGAGTTTATAATATCCTGCTAAATCTCGGGTTTCACTATCTCCAGTAATTGGCAGAGAGAAATCTGGATTTTTTTACCCGATACTTGCTTAACAATATCAGATACCACTTTATCGGTAATGTTGGGTAAACTTTTATCTTTTTCGAAACCCAATTTTTTCGCAATCTCATAAGTGATAATTGGACATTCTGAACATGAATCAATCACATTCTGTTGCTTTAGCACTAATTCAATATTATTATTTTCAGTCATTGTCTATGTTAAATTATTTATTAATACGCAATAAAAAAATACATCATTAAATATACTTAAAATGTTTGTAAATACTCTTGTCGAAGGAAAAATCCCAGTAAAAGTGTTAATTGATACAACATCTAAATATAATACTATTAGCAAACACTTATTCGATAAGCTTGAATCTGATCACGGATTAGAAGGTATAGTTGGTGATGATCTGATAGGCGAAGAAATAAAAGGCTTAGATTTAGAGTTTCACATTAAAAGAAAGTGGCAGAGTTTAAGTGATACTGAACTAATAGACTTTCAAATTCACAAAAATCCATTATTTGATTTGGTGTTGGGGCAAGATTGGTTATGGATGCGTGAATCAAAAATAAGCTTTGGACATTCTCCCAAAACCCATGTTCGCCATACTAAAATTGTAATAGATGGTATGAGTATTCCGTTATTCGATGAAGATTTTAACAAAGCCAGCTCCACTAAAAATAATTTATCTAAATCAACAGAATCCAAACCTGGTCTAGCTCAAGAGGAGGTTATGAATATAATTAACAAAATTTTCTCAAATATTGGAGATAGACATTGCTTTGCAACATACCTCCTACACATCTACTATCCAGAAGATTAAATGACGATGTTTCCAAAAATAAGAGTAAGAAAAATAATGTCAAATATTCCACAGATGCTTCTTCTAATTCAGACACTTCAGACAGCGATTCAAGTAATTCTTCCACATCTAGTTCAGAAATAGAAGTTACACATGCGCATAAGACTAGAGTAGTAAAGAAACGCCCTATTCGAAAGCATAAAGTAAAAGGTAAAGTTAATTATCGAGCTTGATGATCTTATAAGCCACAAAGTGAAGTAAATCACATGACGTTATAGGGGAAAGCCCACTGCAAAGCAATAATGAGCCTCAGTGGAGTGATGTCATGTGTTTTATTTCAAAGAAATGACACTTCAAGTCTAAATCCACGAATCGGAGATCAGCATAGAAGTATTTCGGTACTAACCAACTCACTAACTGCACTTATTGCAGAGCAATGACCTTTTTGGTCTACCCTTAAGCTAAATTTTTTATCCACGATTGCTAGCAAAGATCAAGCGATCCATAATACTAAATAATTCATAAATGAACGGATCGCCAAATCCGAAATTAGTTTAATGAAATCTGCAAATTAGGTTTGTTAGTCATGAGAAATAAACTATATAAAAAGCTAAGTATAAGTAATTTTATTGTTAAAAACTTATCTGGTATCTAATCATTATTATGTTTCTTACTAATCTCCAAAACTTCGCTTTTAATATTTTAAAAGAAACAAAACATAACATAGTACAAGATATCGTTGTTACAGAATTGCCACCATGTAAACTATGTGA